TTAAAGCGAAATTAAAAAGGGTGTTCACTATTGATAAGGAAGGACCCATTTCAAGATGGGGACCTAAATCTGCTTAACTGTTTTGCAGGGCAATCATGTGTGGCACTTAGATTTTGGATGCTCAACCCACATGACCGGATTAAAACACCTGTTGAGCAACTACACTAACTGCTTTGGAGGAAATGTCAGATTCGGCAACGACGCCTCATCTCCAATCCTTGACTATGGGGATGTCATCTGTGCCAGCGTCACCATTAAGGCTGTCTCTTATGTCAAAGGGCTCAAACATAACTTGCTGAGCATAGGACAATTTTGTGACAGTGGCATGGAAGTGAGGTTCTTCTCAAAACAATGTTGTGTGTTGGACAGCACTGGGAACTTATTATTAACATGTAACAGGACATCAAACGTGTACACGATTGATCTGAAAAGTGTTCAATCCACCACTTCCATCTGTCTACTGTCCAGAGCCTCAACTGAACAGAACAGTCTATGGCATCGACGTCTTTCTCACCTAAACTTCAAGAATCTTTCCATCATTTCCTCCAAGAAACTTGTGAAGGGGCTTCCTCTGTTGAAGTCTTCCGCTGAAAACCATTGTAGTGCCTGCAAGATGGGCAAAATGACGCGAAGCTCCCACAAGCCAAAAACAGTTCCATCATCTACTCATCCGCTGCAGCTGATTCACATGGATCTGTGTGGACCCATGAGAGTACAAAGCATCAATGGTCGCAAATATACATTAGTGACCGTTGATGACTTCTCAAGGTACACATGGACCAAATTTCTTCGTACAAAGGACGAGGCAACAGAAACCATTATGACCTTTATTAGAACCATCCAAAACCTGCTACAACACAGTCGCCCGCACACGCAAGTCGCGGTTTTTGTTCTTCGGTTTCGGGATTTGATTCGCACCCCCCTGCGCGCGTGAGAGAGCCTTTCCCTTTAGGAATCTTAACTCCTTAGGGGGGGTTTCCCTTTATAAAGGGTTCAAATTCCCTTGTGATTTTCGGTGTGGGAAAGAACCCACACTAAAACCCACATTTTCCTAGTTTTCTCCATTCCAACGGGTAAACTTCGAAAAACAATTTCTCATTCACCCGTTATCCGTTTTGAGTGTACCATATATCGAATTGTAGCCCTTAGCAAGGACAATCCGAAACCACTTTGACCCGACCCAAATCGGAAGTGGACCCCACTCAAATAATTGCCCCAAAATGACCATTTAATACACTTTTAACACACTTTTTCCAACAGCAATTTGTTTCCTCATGTACATCATCAAAGGTGATGCATAGAGGACATTTTGTCACATCTGTCTCTTGCTTCTTTAGGTGTAAATAAAACAACAGAGCTGAATTATCTTGTATCATCAACTCTGGATAATTTTGTCTGACTTTGTACTGAATTATCAATGAAGCTGATGGTGTTTGTATTCACATTCCATGAACTAGCTTTGCAATTAAGCGAGAAAAGGAGCTGTGTGTATCTAAAGTAATTCCAAACACATCGAAGTTATCATATTACATTCCTTCATTCCAATGACCACCATGATGAACAAAAAAGGCAGTGTTTCCATGTTCCCTGTTATTAACAATACACACATCGTTTCAGCTTACACAACAACTAATAATCAAACGGAAACCAAAATTTATTCACAATTCAAACACATTGAAATCAGTGCACGAAGTCTAGAGATTGTAGTAATCATACTTTTATGTTGCAGGAGAATTGTGAATAGCTTATGAAAACTGGACTTGCTCGTTGTCTAGATTCCAAATTGTTTGTCTGAAACAATTATGTTCTATGATCGAATTCTCTGTGCGACATCAATGAATATGCGATCAGGTCGAGAAAACTGGAAACGAACGTTGCGCAGGTCAAGAAAATTGGAAACGAATCTCCTCTTTTCTGTGTGCGTGTTACGATCTGGAGCTATGAGATTCTATTTTGGTTAAACAGTTGCCATATATATGAGATTATTTTTGAAAATAAAATCTTCCATATCTTACTTTTAAAAACCAAATCTATAATTGAAAAAGCTGATATTATTTCCCTTCTCGGGGCTATATGTGGAAATTTCCTTATTACTTAATGGGAAAAGGTGTGAGAACAAATATACCCCTATTCTATTTTTCGGAACAAATATAGCCCCGAAGTATATGTGGAAGTGCATATTACCCCTATTTTTTTAAAAGGTGCAAAAATACTCCTCATGTTATTGAATTTTAAATTTGAAATTAAAAATAAAAAATTTAAAAATGTACCCGTGTCCAGTTATCCCTGTTATTGAATTGTTTTTATATCACAATTTAATAATATTAGTATAAAATAATGTTTCAAAACTTTACTATGTATTTAGATTCTTTCCAAAAAGAGTTAACATATGTGTTGCAATGTAAAAAAATTAATTTTTTTCATTCTTTGCACTGTAAAATTATATATTTTGTATGATGATAAGAAGTCCAAAATTACAAAATAGTGAATTTAATTTCATTAAGGGCATACAAAGTCAAAGAATGTTGTTTCAAAAAATGTAACAATGCGTTCAAAATTTCACAAGACTAAAATTAATATTTATGAATTTAAAGTGCTTCATTTAAAAAAGAAAAAAATCAATTTAAAATTAAAGAGTTAATATTTTAACATATTAATAAATCTATATTTTTCAATTTCAATTTTTTAATTTATTTTCGGTGTTTTTTGAAATCTATTTTATCTATTTAAAGGCAATAAAAGTAAATTTGATCCTTGATAAGAAAACGAGGGACATTTTTACACTTTTAAAGATTCAGGGGTATATATGCGTTTCAACGTGTATATTTATTTTTTAAAAATAGAACAAATGTATATTTGTTGTCCCACACATATTAAATGAGTACTAGTTACTCTACCCGTGCAGTGCACGGGAGTGAGACACCCACATAATAATTTAGATATAATTATATATTTAAAAATATTTAAAAAATATGATTGTGTTAGAATTATTTGAAAACATTAAATAAATTCTGAATAAATGGTAAGAACTGAATGTAAAACATCACACGATGAAATGAATGTGCATTTAAGTCCACCACACTATAACGAAAATTATAAATTACTCTATAGTACAATTTTCTTTGTAAACAACATTCAATGTTGATTTGGTTGGTTGTCCATCTTCGTCATTACAAACTCCAATCTCATGAACTTATTACTCTACACACCGCCATGTACAAATGTTTGTGAGTAATAATGGGGCGTCAGAGTAAGATGACAACCTTTTTCAACGATTGTCCGTGACTCTTATTAATGACCATTTCAAACCTAACAATTTTAGGCGGAGAATGCTTAGACGGGATAATTTTATCTCTCCGGTGTAGTGCTTTTAGATATAGGATGAAATTACATTTTAGGATTTTAGGATTATAGGATGATGATTTTTTTGTGGAAAGTGTAATTACATTTTAGGATTTTAGGCGGAAAATGCTTAGGTAGGAGAATTTTCTCTCTAGTGTAGTGCTATTAGTGCTATTAAGTATATGATGATTTTTTTTGCGGAAAGTGAAATTACATTTTAGGATTTTAGGCGGAGAATGCTTAGGCGGGAGAATTTTCTCTCTCCAGTGTAGTGCTTTTAGGTATAGGATAATCTTTTTTTGCGGAAAGTGAAATTACATTTTAGGATTTTAAGCGGAGAATGTTTGGGCGGGAGAATTTTCTCACTCTAGTGTAGTGCTTTTTAGTATTGGAGGATGATGATTTTTTTTTGTGGAAAGTGTAATTACATTTTAGATTTTAGGCGGAGAATGTTTAGGCGAGATAGTTTTTCTCTCTTCAGTGTAGTGCTTGTAGGTATAAAATGATTTTTTATGCGGAAAGTGAAATTACATTTTAGGATTTTAGACGGAGAATGCTTAGGTGAGAGAATTATCTCTCTCGAGTGTAGTGCTTTTAGGTATATGATGATGATGGTGATGATGATTTTTTTTTTTGTGGAAAGTGAAATTACATTTCAGGGGTTTAGGCGGAGAATTTTCTCTCTGCAGTGTAGTGCTTTTAGGTATATGATGATGATAGGATGAAATTACATTTTAGAATTTTAGGATTATAGGATGGTGATTTTTTTTTGTGCAAAATGTAATTACATTTTAGGATTTTAGGCGGAGAATACTTAGGCGGGAAAATTTTCTCTCTCCAGTGTAGTGCTTTTAGGTGTAGGATGATGATTTTTTTTTGCGGAAAGTGAAATTACATTTTAGGATTTTATGTAGAGAATGCTTATGAGGAAGAATTTTTTCTCTCCAGTGTAGTGGTTTTAGATATAGGATGATGATTTTTTTTGAGGAAAGTGAAATTACATTTTAGGATTTTAGGCGGAGATTCAAGGGTAAATTTGATCCTTGATAAGAAAATGAGGGACATTTTTACACTTTTTAAATATTCAGGGGTATATATGCACTTCAACATATATTAATGGTATATTTGTTTTGAGGGGTGGGGAGAAGAGTCAGAGAAGAGAGGGAGAATGAAGATCCAAATAGACATGGATTAGAGGAATCTGAATTGATATGCGTCTTCTTGGGTTGGATGAGAGTATGTCTTTGGAGAGAGCAAAGTGGAGGGCGCACATCCGTGTGAATGATTGATGTCTTGTCTACTTTTCCTCTATTTTTTTTATCGTTTATCTTCCTTATCTTTTTATATTCTTATGCTATTTTTATTTTCTAGCTTTTTATGCTCTTTTATTTTTATTTTTTATCTTTGTTATATTCTTGTGTTAAAAAACTTTGTCATTTCCATTTAAAGTAACAAATATGTAGCTAAAGTTATTTCTCTCTCCTCTGCACAAATATCAACCACACAGTTTTTACTTTATTAATCTACATGTAAGTCAACATTGGTCAAGTTTTATGGGACGGGGGAGTATTTATTTATCTTTATTTTATTCATTTTATCTTATTTTTTTTCCTTTTGTTGTAGGTCTCTCTTTTTTGGGAATAAGGTTTGGAAAGAGGATGTGGGTTAATTTCCTTCCCGTGCAGTGTCCTCCCTCTTTGGTTTGACCGGAGTAGTTTTTGTAACCCGAACAAGCATTCCCAGTCTCCATCTTTGCCGGATGCCAAAGCTCCATCTTTCACAGGCTCCTATAAACTCTCCATCAGTCATTCCCATCTGTCCCAAAGTCCCAGTCTAACTTCAAATTCCTCATATCCATGCTCTTACTCTGGAAGATCATCTGAAAAAATGGGGAATAAAATTGCTCGTACAACGCAAGCGTCTGCTACGGAGTACTACCTCCATGACTTGCCGTCTTCGTACAACCTGGTACTAAAGGAAGTTTTAGGCCGGGGGAGGTTTCTGAAATCGATTCTCTGTAAACACGACGAGGGGCTTGTATTGGTGAAGGTGTATTTCAAAAGAGGCGACTCCATTGATTTGCGCGATCATGAACGACGCCTCTCACAAATAAGCGAAATCTTCGGTGGCATCGATCATCCCCATGTTTGGCCTTTTCAGGTGGATGTTTTTTGATAATAGTTCTTGTACTTGGCTGAATTCATCATAACATAAATAAGTTGAGAACGGAGCTTATAGAAACATTAACAGTCTAACACGTTCCAGTACACTTAGTTTAGCTATATATTTGTTTCCTTTTTAACTGTTCTTCTAATTCACAACTAATATATCCTAAAGAATGTTACTGAAGAAAAGTACTAGTATTTATATTCTCAAGCCACAGGAAAAAGCTCATTTTTAGTTATGCTTTAACAATTACTAAAATCGGTAGCCTAGAGCAAGCTAAATTTTTGTTCTTTTCATATACTTGGCACAAACTAAGTCTAATGGCTTCTTTGTTCCATGGGTAATGTACCTATCCTTACCTACAACTTCTGCAATGTTGCAGTGAGAATTAAAAATGAGTTACTTCTGGTATCTTGAGTTTTTGAACTAGGAAAGTGTACCTCCTACTATTACTAAGCTCTATGCCGGTCTTCTTTTTATGGCATAGTTCTGGGTGGAAACAGATAAAGCTGCCTATTTGCTGAGGCAATACTTCTTTAATAATCTTCATGATCGTCTTAGCACGCGGCCTTTCCTAAGTCTCGTTGAGAAGAAATGGCTGGCTTTCCAGGTCTTTGTCTTGTTTCAACTGTGCTAAGTTATTGTTTTAAATTCACAAAGGCATCTCACATGCTTATGGTCTTTGCAGTTGCTATGTGCAGTGAAGCAGAGCCATGAACGTCGAGTCTGTCATGGTGAGGTCACTAGCATATGTAAATGCATTTTTTTGTTCTTTCTTTTGTTTCTCCAGAAAGCACCTTTTTTTCCAGGCGATATTAAATGTGAGAATGTGTTGGTCACTTCTTGGAACTGGCTTTATCTTGCGGATTATGCATCTTTTAAACCCACATATATTCCACATGATGATCCATCCGACTTCTCATTTTTCTTTGATACTGGTGGAAGGAGGCGATGTTACTTGGCTCCTGAGGTTTGTTCCCTGCTATTTTATGTGTTCCACTTCCCTTCAAATGTAATTATGTTAGACTGATAATTCATTTTGGTCTAACCATGCTAATGTGACTTGATCTAAGTCAGTCTTTCCCTTAAAAAGTTAAGCTTTTCAACAAGTAGTGGATCTTTAATTAAGAGTTAAGGTTAAGATTATAAAGTAGTTGCGCTTATTCCGAATACTATATTCAGTGTGGATGCTATCCTGTCCACTCTCTATATATTGGAGTGACCCTACAAATACTAGTCTCACTGGGATGCAGAATGAATGAACTGGATGCATTATGTGAATGCCTTCCTCCCTTATCCCCTATTGGTGAATAATGATTCCTTAATTATTTTCATAACATCATAATATTGGAGTGGATGCTACACAACATGTCGGAGTTTTAGGTGCTAACATGCATTGGTTTTCAGAGATTTTATGAGCATGGAGGTGAGACACATGTTGCACAAGATGCACCGTTAAAGTCATCCATGGATATCTTTTCTGCAGGGTGAGGTCCTTCAGCTCAGGCCAGTGTTTTAGTTTGCTTGTTTTTAGGATAGCTATTTCAGTATGTCTACAGTTTGTATTGTGGAATATGCTTACAAGGAATGACGGTGTCTGTTGGTTTTCTTGTATACTACTATGCTACTATCTAACTTGATTCAGAAGTGTCTGGAATGAAAAATGATTATTTTCACATGCAGTTTTTTTAATGCAGCAAAATGGATTGTCTTGTTTTCCTCTTGACATTATTTGTTTTTCTCACTCCTTGTCTCCAGCCTCTACACTTCCCTGCAAATCTGTTATGAGTTTCTCTTAGAGGGAATCTTTTCGTCTAGCTCTCTATTATTATTTCATCATTTGTATTATAGTGAAGCTACCAGGATTTTGATATAGTTTGATCCTAATGACGAGAGACGAGTATCATATCATTTATCTCATGTACAAGGACTTTTCTACCTTGTGCAATCATGTTTTTTGAAGGCGGAGACGCGGAGTTGTTCGGCTCAGAGGCACAAAGACGTTAAGGTGCAAGGAAAATGAATATAAAGCTTAAGCCATCGGGACTGTACATTTTTTCATCAAATCCTGTCTGGGTCAAGACACGTGTATTAAGTAATCTTAATAAACAGTCTGAATTGGGTAAAACAACCAACTTCTGGTTTTGTGCCCTACCTTGCAATGAGTAAACTCACTTACTAACACACATACTCCATCATGGCTTTCCATATAGAAAATTGGTTGAATAGACACTTGGATTGCAACGAGTGATATATTAGGGTTGAATTATTAAGTCAGTTCTTGACTTAGCCAATCAGTGCTGTTTCCAATCAAGTTGTAACTAAGATGATTGCACATGAAAAGAAAAGTAGGAAGAAGAATTGGAAAATACCTTAGATACTTATAGATAGTATAGCTGGAACCGGGGAGGAGAAACAACAACACACAGTTAGTATCTTTTTCTTGGTGACATAGCTGTAAGGGTTTTAGTAAACACACTGAGATTTGTAATAAATTCCTGCGAGCTGTGAGATGTTGGACTCAGCCCATTTTATTTTACTTTATTTTATTTTGGACGTAATTCTATGTTTTAGAGAAAAAAAGATGGAAGAAGAAGATGACTTCACACAAAAAGAAAAGTAGGAAGAAGAGTTGGAAGATACCTTAGATAGTATAGCTGAAATTGGGGAGGAGAAACAACAACACATATTTAGTATTTTATTCCTGGCGACATAGCTCTAAGGTTTGTACTTTTAGTACACACACTGAGCTATTATTTGTAATAAACTATTTCTTCAAGCTGTGAGTTGTTGGGCTCAGCCTATTTTATTTTACCTTATTTTAGAGGGCTAATTGTCAACAACAACAATACAATAATTATTTGAAGAATTGCGGCAAGCTAAATTCAAATATTCTTTATCTTTAACTACAATAAAGGGTAGCCAGGTACATGAAGGCATCCCCGCAAAGGGGGTCTGGGGAAGGGTCCCACCACAAGGGTGCATAAGGAGCAAACCTTCACCTGTCAAAATTTGACAAGAGTCTGCTCCCAAGACTTCTCGGTGACCTCTAGGTGCACCCATGCCCCCCTTCAAAACCACTTTATCTTTTTTTTTTGGATGAAAACCACTTTATCTTTAACTACAATAAGTTATTAAAATCGAAATGTTGAATACTTCCTCAATATAATTAATCAAACTGAAAGTTAAATTTTTATATCCTAAAAATCCTTACTTGTCACTAAATTAATAGGGCTTCCTAAAACTTCTCCCTTTTGGTAGTCAATTTACTTAAAAATGATTAACTTAATACTACTTATGTTCAATGACTTCTTCACTTGTTTAATTTAGAAGTGATATTCTTACAGTTTTTTTTAAGAATTACATGCTTCTGTTATTTGTTATGGTTAGGTATGTATATATATATATTCTTTTATTTTGTATATTAACATACCTATTTATATATTCAACAATATTACAAGTGTTAATTATTTAAATACGTCAATATTGTATGTAATTGAACTACCTGATATGGGAGCAACCACACCTGTAACACTATCATGATGAGTTATTCGTCGACTCATCATCATCATCATTACCCCAGTGCCGCAAAGGCTCCCACCTACAGTGGGGTAAGGGGAGGTCGGGTACGCAGTCTTACCCCTGTACTAAAGCACAAAGAGGCTGTTTCCGGATGACCCATAGTGAAAATCGCGTCAAAAATTGCATGAACTGACTGTTGCTTCATAACAAAGAAACGCAGACAGTTTAGTGAGCCCATTTGCTTTATTCCATCATATTCCCGGGCCAAAAAATAGTGAGTCTTTGGTTCCATTGCAAATGATGGAATAATGAGTTATTCGTCGACTACCCTACATTTATTTATTTTGTTTAGTGATTCAAAGTTTGGCCGACCCCAAAATCTTGTGGGAATAAGGCTTAGATGTTGTTGTAGTAATTCAAAGTTTGTGCCTTGCTTCTCATTGAGGTTTACACCTCACTAGGAAAAGGGAGATCGCCTTGAGGCACAATTTTGCGTTTCAAAACCTTTTGTGCAATTGCAGTTCCCTTAGTTTGCAATGCTTTATAGAAATAAAGTTTTCAAGTATTCCAACTTTGTTCATACTGTCTCAGGTGTGTTATCGCTGAGCTTTTCCTTGAGGGCCAGCCTTTATTTGAACTATCCCAATTACTTGCCTATCGGAGAGGACAGTATGATCCTAACCAACTTCTGGAAAAGGTTTCATTCTTCACTCCAACTCTCTATTCTTATTGCTATGATATATGAGTTTGCCCCTCTTGTTTGGATACAGTATTTCAATTTAACAGTATTCTGACCCTAATGCGCCTATAAATATTTTGGTTGTCTAAGACTACATCAACCCTCGTTCTCAAACAGTTAAATTCATTGATCCAGATTCCAGATTCAGGTATCCGCAAGATGATCCTTCATATGATTCAGTTGGACCCAGAGTTGCGCTGTTCAGCTGAAAGCTACTTGCAGAGTTATGCCGGTGTTGTGTTCCCAAGCTACTTCTCGCCATTTCTTCACAATTTCTATTGCTTGTTGAATCCACTGAATTCCGATGCAAGGGTAAGAGTTCGTTTATTTGGTTGAAAAAATAATGATTAGCTTATACTTTCATCTTTAGTTACCAGCACATCTTCTATAGGTCTTGATATGCCAGACCTCTTTCCAAGAGATACTTAAACAGATGAGCAATGGGCAACCAGATGGGAAGAATGCATCCACTATGTGCTTCTCTACGTGTACAGCCTGTCATGTGCTGCAAGGAAAGGATACACATCAAAGTTCAAACAAATTAAAGGACTACTCGAATAAAAGAGAGGGGATGAAGAGTGGATCAATTCATGATCGGTTCGATCTCCTTGGTGATGTGAATACTTTACTCACGGATGTCAACCAAAGGAATATATGTTCTTCTGTTAACCCAATGCTGGAGGATGTAGCCAATGCAGCATATTCTGAATACCGGATGCATTGCGGCATGCAGTCTCCGGGTGAGCTATTTCAGACGGTCTCCAAAGTGTTCAAGAGAAACCACCACCCATTTTTGGAAAAAATAACTGTGAAAGATTTGACTTCTCTCATGTCTGATTATGACAATCAATCAGACACTTTTGGGATGCCATTCTTACCTTTGCCTGATGATGTATTGAGCTGTGAAGGTATGGTTTTGATTGCATCAATGCTGTGCTCATGCATACGGAATATAAAGTTGCCTTTTATGAGGAGAGGGGCTATACTTCTGCTGAAGTCTTGTTCGTTATATATTGATGATGAAGACCGTTTGCAAAGAGTGCTGCCATATGTCATTGCCTTGCTTCCAGATCCAGCAGCAATTGTTCGATGTGCTGCATTAGAAACTTTATGTGATATTCTTCCTCTAGTTCGAGATTTCCCTCCAAGTGATGCCAAAATTTTTCCAGAGTATATTCTTCCAATGCTTTCTATGCTTCCTGATGATCCTGAAGAGAGTGTGAGGATCTGTTATGCCAGCAATATATCTAAGCTAGCCTTAACTGCCTATGGGTTTCTTGTTCACTCAATTAGTTTAAGTGAAGCAGGGGTTCTGAATGAGGTGGATTTATCTCAGAAGGCTTCAGTCTCATCCACTGAGCCATCAGGACGACTACTGAGTCTGAACAGCAGTGACACACAGCTTGCACAATTGAGAAAATCAATTGCTGAGGTCATTCAGGAACTAGTGATGGGCCCCAAACAAACCCCAAATATTAGGAGAGCGCTCTTGCAAGATATTGGCAACCTTTGTTGTTTTTTTGGCCAGAGGCAAAGCAATGATGTCCTTTTGCCAATTCTTCCTGCTTTCTTAAATGACCGAGATGAGCAGCTTAGGGCCATATTCTATGGGCAAATTACTTATGTCTGTTTTTTTGTAGGCCAAAGAAGCGTAGAGGAATATCTTTTGCCCTACATTGATCAGGCATTGACCGATGTAACTGAATCTGTCATTGCCAATGCATTGGATTGCTTGGCTATTCTTTGCAAAAGTGGTTTTCTACGAAAGGCCATCCTGCTTGAAATGATAGACCATGCTTTTCCACTGCTTTGTTGTCCTAGTCAATGGGTAAGAAGGGCAGCTGTTGCATTCATTGCTGCCAGCAGTGAGAGCTTAGGTGCAGTGGATTCATATGTTTTTCTCGTCCCTGTTATTCGCCCATTCATCCGAAGGCAACCAGCATCTTTAGCTTCAGAAAATTGTCTTTTCTCATGCCTTAAGCCTCCTGTTCCAAGAGAGATATACTACAAGCTTTTGGAAAATGCAAAAAGCTCCGATATGCTTAACAGACAGCGAAAGATATGGTATAATTTGTCATCACAGTCCAAACAATGGGAAACCCTGGACTTAATCGAAAGAAATTCTGCCGAATTTGATCAAATGTCATACTGGCCTGACAGAAAGCGTGACTATCAAGGCCACAATTTTGGCAATGATAAGCCACTTGATTCCTCTGACTGTGATGATAACGAGACCAAGTTGAGAGCTTTAGGAAGCTTGATACAGAACCCCTCCAGCACAATGGATAACCAGGATCTGCTTTCTTCAGAAAAAATGCAATTGTCTGGATTTGTATCTCCACAAGTGAGTAGTATGAATGGCTTAATTGATAAACCTTCAGAGGGAATACCATTGTACTACTTCAAAGTTGACAACAAGGGAGTAGCTGGAAATGGTCCTACTGTTTCTGATTCGTCATTACCATACACTAGTTTGTCATTTGGTTCATCATCTATGCCATGGATGGATACAGTAAACAAGTCGTTTAGTTTGGCTAATTCAGTTCCAGCACCTAAGCTTGTCTCAGGTTCGATTAGCTTCGGCAACAACTCTACCCGATTGCGGAGAGTTGTACATGAAATCGAGGACAGGGAAGCTGACCAAACGTCATATATTGGTAACAAGTTTCAAGATCTTGATATGTCTTCCACAAAAAAAGGGATTTCCCTTACCATGGAAGACCACTTAACTGCAAATGATGGAACAGAGTTACCATCTTTTGCTCGAATGTCAACCGTTCCAGATTCGGGGTGGAAGCCTCGTGGGGTGTTAGTTGCTCACCTACAGGAGCACCACTTGGCTATAAATGATATTGCTGTTTCAACAGATCAAAGTTTTTTTGTGAGTGCATGTGACGATTCAACTGTTAAGGTTTGGGATTGCAAAAGGTTAGAGAAGGACATCTCATTTAGGTCAAGGTTAACTTACTCTTTAGGGGGAAGTAGAGCTTTGTGTCTTTGTGTACTCCATGGTTCTGCTCAAGTTGTCATTGGTGCTTGTGATGGAACAATACACATGTTTTCTGTTGATTACATCTCTCGAGGACTGGGCAACAATGTTGTTGAGAAATACTCTGGTGTTGCTAATGTGAACAAGCACGGTGTGGGAGAGGGTGCAATATTAAGCGTATTGAACTACTCACCAGATGGTGGGGCCTGCAAAATGATTCTGTATTGTACCCAAAATTGTGGGCTCCACATCTGGGATGCAAGAACTAGCGCAAATGCCTGGAGCTCAAATGTTTATCCTGAGGAGGGTTATGTGTCTTCTCTTGTCGCAGGTCATTGTGGGAATTGGTTTGTGACTGGGTCATCAAGGGGTGTACTCACACTTTGGGATCTCAGGTTTTGTGTACCTGTCAACTCATGGCAGTATTCTCTCTCTTGCCCTATCGAGAAAATGTGTCTTTTTGTTCCTCCATCAAGCACCTCCTTGTCTGTCGCAGCAAGACCTCTTGTTTATGTTGCAGCGGGCTGTAATGAAGTCTCTCTGTGGAATGCAGAAAACGGGAGCTGTCACCAGGTTATTTATGATCACTTTTTTATAATGTTTTTTTCCGATTCACTATTGATCGCAGTAGCCGAGTGGTGTAAATTGCGTTGAATTTCGTAAGTCTACTACCAAGTGTACCAACCGTCAATCGTGTGTGGTCTAAAATAGAAATACTGTAACAAGTAACTACACTGCAAGGACCTTACATACGGAGTTCATCATTAATACTCCTGTAAAAATGTAATGCTGTCTGTAAATCCCAAATCCACGACAATCATAGATATGGTAGCAAAACAGGGAGTAGATGAGAGCAGATAACTAATGCAATTGGACACAATAAAATATATTCCTAACACTGTTTAAAGAGACTTTTTTGAGTGTAAAAACATAACACGGTTTTAAATGTCAACTTTCATTTTAAAGTAAAATTCCTATAGCGTCAAGCGGCAAATTGTTTTTGTCAATTACTCAAAACAATCTTGGATGTAAGGGGTAAAAGTGACCATTCATAACCTGTAAAAGCTTGTACCCTCATTGAGTTGACCATACTAACAAAGATATTTTCCTGTTTTCTACTTCTGTTTTTCATTCTCCAATTTTCTGTTTTTATTTTTCTGTTTTTCTATCTCCAGTTTTCTGTTTCTATTTTCTAGTTTTCCATTTTCAAATCTGAAAACATGTTCATAAATTTTTTCACCCAGTTTTGTGATCATCCAGAAGACTGACATGTTTACTTCACAGTTTATTAAATGGTGCTTATTAAGACTCGTGTTAATAAGCGACACATAAAATAAGCAATGTTATAAGATCATGTTTACTTCAAAAGGTTTAAAACACCGTTTAACATTAAAATGTCCAAAATAACCCTATACATATATAGACACACAAACATTCATGAACACAAATATATAATATAATATGTGGGGTCGATCACCTCGTACGTGTACCCATACTCCTAACCCCTACACTGCCCCTATACCTCGTACTCCCACCCTTCAACCTACACCCAATTCCACACCCTTGACCCCTACCCCTACCCTTACCACGATCTTACACTACCCATATTCCCCTAAAGCCCTTCATACCCACCCATACCTACTCGTAGGGGTAGGGGTAGGGAAGGGAGTTGGGATAGGATGGCGGTAGGGTGGGGCCGAGATCAGGGTGGGGCTGAGGGGTATGATCGGGGGTGGGGTGGTAAGGTATAGGGGTTGGGTGTAGGTTTGAAGAATTAATCTTCCATATCTTATTGAGCCATCCGGCTATGATATAAATACAAAATTACAGATAAGCTAAGGTTTGTTACAGATCCTAATATTTAGGATCTATCTATTCTTATCTACACTGCGTGTTAATCTAAGAGTTAGAGTCCTAAATCAACTCTACTTCCTATCTATACAGTTCCGGATGTACACATAATAAAATAACATGAATATGCTACATTTTTCTACACTCCCCCTCAAGTTGGTAAGTATATATCATACATTCCCAACTTGCTTATAAGAAACTCAAACACTGGTTTAAACAGCCCCTTTGTAAAGATATCAGCTGTCTGCTCTTTAGTAGATATGAATGGTGTGCATACAATTCCAGCTTCAATCTTCTCTTTGATAAAATGCCTGTCCACCTCAATGTGTTTAGTACGATCATGTAGCACAGGATTGTGAGCAATATTAATGGCTGCTTTATTGTCACAATATAATTTCATAGGTAGGTTCATTTCCATATTCAACTCTGTCATCATTCTCTTGATCCAAAGTAGCTCACAGATTCCATTAGCCATAGATCTAAATTCAGATTCTGCACTACTTCTGGCAACAACATTCTGCTTCTTACTCCTCCAAGTCACCAGATTCCCCCATACATAAGTACAATATCCAGATGTAGACCTTCTATCAGTTATTGACCCAGCATAATCTGCATCTGTAAAGGCTTCTACACTTCTATTGTCACTTCTTTTAAAAAATAATCCTTTCCCTGGACAACTTTTCAAATATCTTAGGATCCTGTAGGTAGCATCTAGATGTTCTTGGAATGGATTATGCATGAACTGACTAACCATACTGACTGCAAAGGCAATATCTGGCCTTGTATGTGCCAGATAAATCAACCTTCCCACCAATCTTTGATATTGGTGAATATTAACTGGTACTCCTTCCTTGACATTTCCTAACTTCTGATTAGGGTCAATTGGAGTATCTATTGGTCTGCATGCACTCATACCTGTTTCATGAAGTAGGTCTAGTACATACTTCCTTTGGGATACCACAATTCCCTTCTTTGATCTGGCTATCTCCATGCCAAGAAAATACTTCAATTCTCCCAGGTCTTTGATTTCAAATTCCTGAGTAAGCTTCTTCTTCAGGTCTTCAATCTCTTCACAATAGTTTCCTGTAAGAATTATATCATCCACATAAACAATTAGTACTGCAATTTCTCCCTTAATGGAGAATTTCATGAATAGTGTATGATCTGCTTGGGCTTGTTTGAATCCCTGCTTCTTTATGAACTGAGTAAACCTTTCAAACCAAGCCCTTGGGGACTGTTTAAGCCCATATAAGGCTTTCTCTAGCTTGCACACCTTTGAGCCATATTGTTCCTCAAACCCAGGAGGAGGGCTCATGTATACTTCCTCTTCAAGCTTCCCATTTAGGAAAGCATTCTTCACATCTAACTGTTGAAGAGGCCAGTCTAGGTTAGAAGCTAGAGATAGTAGAATCCTTAAAGTATTTAATTTTGCAACTGGTGCAAAAGTTTCTGTATAATCTATGCCATAGGTTTGTGTGTATCCTTTGGCAACCAGTCTGGCCTTATATCTTTCAAGTGTACCATCTGCCTTGAATTTAGGAGTAAACACCCATTTGCATCCAACCCTTGGTTTATTTTTGGGTACCTCTACAGTCTGCCATGTCTGATTCTTTTCAAGGGCATTCATTTCTTCTAAAACAGCCTTCTTCCACTCAGGTATAGATAGGGCTTCCTGTATGCTTAAGGGAATAGAGACACTGGAAAGGCTAGAGGTAAAAGCTGCAAATAATGTAGATAACTGAGAATAGGACAGATAGTTTGAGATAGGGTATTTAACACATGACCTTTTTTCTTTTCTGAGAGCAATGGGTAGATTTAGATCACTGAAATTATTACCTTTGTCATTTTCTGGCATTGAGTCAGATTCATTGACAGTGGCAGGATCAGGGATGTCCTCTATTCTGTGATTTGGAACTTTCCTTTCATAAACCTTGCCAAAAAACTTACTTATCTGCTGTTCATCATCTTTCCTTGTTTCAGAAAAAAGTTTTTCATTTTCTTTTGACTCTTGACTATTTTCTAGTGCATCTAACTGTCTATTATACTGTGCATCTAGATTAATGTCAAGAGGGTCTAGTTTTTCAAGGATATGTGACACATTATTACCATCTTCATTAGGAATCTCCCCCTGAAGATGAGTACCAAAAAAAGGTTGATCTTCTACAAAAACAGTGTTCATAGTTATAAACATCTTTTTTGTTATAGGGTCAAAACATTTATAGCCTTTCTGAGTTGAAGAGAGTCCTAAGAAAACACATTTTTTTCCCTTAGGGTCAAATGTACTTGCAGTTCTGTCAGGATTGGTAATAAAGACTGTGCACCCAAAAATTTTTATGGGAAGAGAGTTAATTAGTCTAGTTTCAGGAAAATAAGTTTGAAGAGTATCAATAGGAGTTTTGAATCCTAGAGTTTTTGATGGCATCCTATTAATTAGATAGGTAGCATGTAAAACAGCTTCTCCCCATAAATATTTTGGAATTTTGGCAGAAAACATTATTGCACGAGTAACTTCAAGTAAATGTCTATTTTTCCTCTCAGCTATTCCATTCTGAGCAGGAGTATTTACACAGGAACTTTGATGAACAATCCCTTTTTCAGCAAAAAAAGTATTTAACTTCTTTGAAAAATACTCAAGTCCATTATCACTTCTCACAATTTTGATATTAGTGTTAAATTGAGTTTGGATCATTGAGTAAAATTGTTTGAACACCTCTTCAATCTCAGATTTTTCTTTAAGTAAAAACACCCATGTGACCCTTGTGTGATCATCTATGATAGTTACAAACCACCTTTTTCCTTTCAGAGTTGAAACTCTAGATGCACCCCAGATATCACTGTGTACAATAGTGAAAGGACTAGTTGGTTTGTAACTATGAGGGATGTAAGAACTCCTATGATGTTTGGCAAGTGCACACATATCACAATGAAATGATGAAGGATTTTTATTAAGAAATAACTTAGGAAACAACATTTTCAAGTAGGAAAAACTTGGGTGACCTAATCTATAGTGCATTAGGCACACTTCATTATTACAAGGAAAAACAGTTTGCAAACAAGTTTTTTCTTGACCTTGTTTATTCAATTGTGTTCCTTCATCAAAAGTATAGAGGCCATCTTCCTCTCTAGCACTGCCAATCATCTTCCCTGATGCCAGATCCTGAAAAATGCAATAAGAGGGAAAGAATTTTACACAACACTGAAGATCTTTAGTAATTTTGCTAATAGAGATGTAAGACTTTGGAAAGGTTAATGGATGCCAGATCCCTGATTGCAGGAAAGTTTAGGAACATGTAAGACTTTGGAAAGGTTAATGGATGAGGAAATTTTAATATTTCCCATCCCTGCTATGGCTGAGAAAGAGCCATCTGCAACTCTAACTTTTTTTTCTCCTGCACAAGGTTGATAAGAAGAAAAAAACTTTGGAATATAGGTCATGTGGTCTGTTGCACCTGAGTCAATGACCCAGGTGTTTTTAGTTTTTTCAGAACAAAAATATGATGTTATTTTACCATTCTGGGCAAAAGAACAGGTAGGGTTTTCAGGATTGGAGATTTTCTGGGTAGGTATGAATCTGAGTAGGTACTCTATCTGTTCCTGAGTGAATGGTAGCTGTTTAGGTTCAACTCCTGCCTCTTGTTGAGTCTCAGTCACAGTAGTTTGTAGGGCCCTTTCTACTTTCTTCTTCCCAGCTCCTGGTGGTTTTCCATGGAGTTTCCAGCATGTATCCCTTGTGTGCCACAATTTCTTGCAGTGATCACACCAAGGTTTTTTCTTGTTGTCATCACTTCTGGCCACCAAAGCTGAAGATTCCCCAGGTTCCTCATTAGGTGCTGGGGTGTTGTACATGACCTTCTTCCTGCTATCCTCCATCCTGATTTCAGAAAATACCTCCCTGATAGAAGGTAGAGGTTTTTTTCCAAGTATCCTCCCCTTAACTTCATCTAGGTCCCTATTGATTCCTGCTAGAAACATATAGACCCTATCATTCTCTTCTTTTTTCTCTTCTTTTTTCTTATGTCTGGCCAGATCCTTGGCACTCTCCCACTCTTCATCATCATAGCATTGATCTAATTCTTGCCACAGAGATACCATTTCATTGTAGTATGAAATAATATCCCTATTTCCTTGTTTAGATTGCCACAATTTGGTTTTGAGTTCAAAAATTTGAGAAGAGTTCTCAAGGTCTGAATAAGTTTCCTTAATAGAATCCCATACCTCTTTTGCAGTTTTCATAAACATATGAGGTTTGGCAATTAGGGGCTCCATGGAGTTGAGAAGCCAAGCTGTTATGAGTGAATTCTCTGACCTCCATGTACTGTACCCTTCTTCTGCAGGTATTTTTGGTTGGATTTCTCCTGTGATGTAACCCAGCTTTCCCCTCCCATCAATTGCAAGTTTGACAGATTGAGACCACTCCAGATAGTTTGTTCCATTCAATCTATGACTAGTGATTATCATAGATGAATGAATAGGAGACTGGTAATTTGTCATAGAGCTAATTTGGGAGTTAGGGTTGGTAGTGTGTGAGGAATCAGCTTCACTGGTTTCTACCATTGTTTAAACCGAAGCTCTGATACCATGTAGGTTTGAAGAATTAATCTTCCATATCTTATTGAGCCATCCGGCTATGATATAAATACAAAATTACAGATAAGCTAAGGTTTGTTACAGATCCTAATATTTAGGATCTATCTATTCTTATCTACACTGCGTGTTAATCTAAGAGTTAGAGTCCTAAATCAACTCTACTTCCTATCTATACAGTTCCGGATGTACACATAATAAAATAACATGAATATGCTACATTTTTCTACAGGTGGGGTAGTGGGTGGGTTAGGGTGGTGGTTAGGGGTAATGGTGGGGGTAGTGAGTAGGGTTGGGGTAAGGTAGGGGTAGGGTAGGGAGTTGGGATAGAATGGCGGTAGGGTGGGGACGGGATCAGGGTGGGGCCGAGGTAGGGGAAGGGGTAGGGTGGGTGGTAGGATGGTGGTGGGGGTAGGATGGCAGTAGAATGGGGGTAGGATGGCGGTAAGGTGGGGCCGAGGTAGAGGGCATGTGGGAAGGGGTAAGGTAGGGGTAAGGGGTAATATACGAGGTGGGGGTAGGGTAGGGTGGGTCGGGGTGGGGTTAAGGTGGTAGGGGGTGGCGGTAGGGTAGGGTGGATCAGGGTGGGATCGAGGTAGGGGCATGTGGTAGGGGGTGGGGGTAGGGTCATTGTAGGGAAAAAGGGTATGCGGGGTGGGGGTTGGTGGGTCGGGGTGGGGTTGAGGTGGTAGGGGGGTGGCGGTAGGGTAGGGTGGATCGGGGTGGGATCGAGGTAGGGGCATGTGGTAGGGGGTGGGGGTAGGGTCATTGTAGGGAAAAGGGGTATGCGGGTTGGGGGTTGGGTGGGTAGGGTAGGCTAGGGGTAAGGGGTAAGGTATGAGGATGGAGGTACTAGAATGGATTCGACATTGGAGCGAGATCGGACTCACCTCTAGGTGTAAGTATGCAAATTCATTGCAGCGGCCTATAGGATCTGCGTTTTCCAAATTTGGAAAACTAGTAAAAGTCACTTCTTCAAATCATTTAGGAAAAGAGATACATGTCTCATTTTTTTGTTTTGGAAAACGGTTTGGTAAACGCGTTTTTCTGTTTTCCTTTCTCCAGTTTTCCAACAATTTTCTTTTGTAAACACGTTTCCTGTTTTTTGTTTTTTAGTTTTCCAGATTTCTGGAAAACTGGAAAATATCTCCGTTAGTAAACAGGCCCTAAGTTGTACCTTACTCGAACAAGTCTTTTCTTTTTCAAAGATGGAAGGAGCATATCCCTTTTTCTAGTTCTCAGCAAGTACGTGCAAACTCAATTTGTATGACAGGTATTGCGGGTGGCAGATGACGAGAACGAGGCTGAAAACTCTGATTTGCCCTGGGCTTTGGCAAAACTCTCCAGCAAAGCTACTACTTCTAAGAAAGATAAAAGAAGAAACCAAAATTCGAAGTATAGAGTTGAAGAGTTGAACGAGTTTCCTCCACGTCTTCCTGGAATTCGTGCTCTGCTTCCATTACCCGGTGGGGATTTGCTAACAGGGGGCACCGACTTAAAAATACGTCGTTGGGACCATTGCAGGTTCGATAGATTTTTATTTTACTACTTCCACTGCTGTGATTATTTTGCTGGTTTCCTCATTATATTTACTTGTCACTTCTAGCCCTGAACGAACGTATTGCGTCTGTGGACCATCTATAAAGAGAGTTGCAAATGATGATTTTTATGAGGTGAAATCTAGCTTTGGTGTTCAAGTTGTACAGGTATTTAAAATAGATGTAACTTGTTATTTTTATGTGACAGATGACTTGGTTAATTGAAAGAGTATATGCTTCAACCATTAAATAATAAATACTCCCTCCATACCGATTTAATAATCTTCTAAAGTCTAAACTGACTTTACACTTTCTCTGAGAAAGTGAAAACTTGTGTAGTTGAGATTTATTTAGATAAGAAAGAAGTGATATCAACCACATATTCCTTTCCATAAATGGAAGAAATGTGTTGAAACCCTAGTTGTATTGGGCTTAGCCCATCTTGTATAGTAACCCTAGTGCTCTAGTTTTAGCTATAAGTATAGCTACTTGTATAGTTCTTAATATCAAGATTCAATATAATGAAATACACTTTATATATTTCACATGGTATCAGAGCCATTTATATGGCACACCGTAGTTAGGGCACAGTATTTTTTTCCGGCGAATATTTCCGGCGAATATTTCCGGCGAATATTTCCGGCGTGTACGGTAGCCGCGCTAGGCGTTGGAGCACTTCCGGTAGTGATATATCAAATCTACACCTACCGCCTTGCTCAGCGCACCGTCGCGACCAACCCGCCGGAAATCGTACCAGCTCAGAAACATTCACGCGCCGCCACGCGCCGCCTCTCTACCTACGGTTTTCTAAGTATTTTGCAGATCTACTCCGTTTTACTCATCTGCGAGCGACACCGACGGCTTTTTCAGACACCTAGGTCCCTGATGACCTAGAACAGTCAGTCCGGTACTCCCAGGCTATCTACGCGCCGCCGCAGATCTCACGCGCCGCCGCCAAACTCACGCGCCGCCTAGACCGGTCGTACCGCCGCCGCCGCTCGGTCCTCCTGCTGGTCGTACCTGCTGCCACTCGGTCCACCTGCCGCCGCTCAGTCCGCCTGCCACTGCCGCTGTTTTTGCTACACCTAAGGTCAGTTTTTCTTTACCTCTGTGCCCAAGGTCGTATCTTCCCAGGCTGCTGTTCCGTATTTCCGCCGCTGTGTTGCTGCTTTGGGCAGTTGCTACTGATATTTCCGTTTGTTGCCTTGGAAGTATTTCCGTATGTTTGCATATGTCTGCACTACTTGATGTTTAATTATTGTGGTACTACTTCAGATTGAAAGTGTTTTTGTTATTTAAAAAAAAATCAAAAAAAAAAATCCAAAAAAAACAATGTCAAGTTTCTCTTCGTTTGCTTCAGTTCCAATCATCACCACCGATCGACTAGCTGGAAGTATTAATTATCAATCATGGGCTATTTCTGTGGAGATGTGGTTCAAAGGTCAAGGTCAAATTGCTCACTTGAATGTCGATGCAAATACGATCAAAGACAAGCGGAGTGAATGGGAGAATATGGATGCCTTATTGTGTAACGTGTTATGGCAATCTATGGATCCAAAACTGCATCCTACCTATCAATCATACCGCACTTGCAAACAGATTTGGGAAAAAGCTAAAGCCAACTACACAAATGACATCCAAAATCTGTTTTCCTTTGGTTTCAAAATTGCTACGCTCAAACAACAGGATTTGGACGTTCAAGAAAACAAAATCTGTTTTCCTTTGGTTTCTAGGGCGGGCTGAGGCATTACTGTTTGAATATAATAATATTCAACCTATCTCTGAAGATAAGGAGAAACAACTCGAGCAAAGACAACAACTTGTTATGGTTTTAACCTTAGCAGGTCTTCGCCCAGAGATGTTATCAATACGTGAGCAAATTCTCTCCAGTTCTTCTGTTCCTACAATGTCTGAAGCCTTTGCCAGAATTCTTCGAGCCGCCCCAATATCTGGTGACGCATCCTCAAGTGATTCTATTATTCTTGCATCTCAAGGTTCAGGGCATGATGGGGGAAATCAAAAAGGATATCCACGACGTAATCGCCCCAAGTGTGATTTTTGTCATAGGATGGTCATACTAAAGATAGGTGTTGGAAGTTACATGGTAAACCTTCCAGCTCTGCCAATGTTGCTCAAATCCCGCAAGTTCCAGTTGTGCTGCCTCCAGACGAATATGAGGCTTATCAGAAATTTAAGAAGTCCACTTTGACTTCATCAACATCAGGTAATTCTACAGCATGTGTGTCAAACACAACTGACTCGTGGATCATTGACTCAGGTGCTTCCGATTATATTTCTGGTAATCCCCATCTTTTATCCCATATTACCAAACACCAAAACCTTCCATTGATCACCCTAGCCAATGGTCTTCACACCTCGGCTACGGGTATTGGGCAAGCACTCCCACTTTCATCCTTACCATTAGATTCAGTTTTATATGTTCCTCACAACCCTTTTAACCTTGTCTCTGTTAGCAAAATTACACGCTCTCTTAATTGTTCTATAACCTTTTATGCTGACTCTATGACTATGCAGGACCGTTGTACGGGGAAGATGATTGGCATCGGGCGTGAATCTCAAGGCTTGTATCACCTCCAACCTCTTGATCCAGTTGTTTGTGTGTCCGCTGAACCAGCACTTTCCTTACATAATCGTTTGGGTCATCCCAGTCTCTCCAAATTTCGACGTATGGTCCCAGGTTTCTCAAGTATTTCCTCTTTAGATTGTTTGTCGTGTCATCTTGGAAAACAACCTCGTCAGTCCTTTCCAAGACGTGTCAATAACAGGGCTGCGTCCCCTTTTGATTTAGTTCATACAGATGTATGGGGTCCATATCGAGTCAATTCTACCCTAGGATTTCGTTATTTTGTCATTTTTGTGGATGACTTCTCCCGTCACACGTGGTTGTTTTTAATGAAAGAACGTCTTGAATTGTTTCATATCTTTCAAAAGTTTTGGGCTGAAGTTCACACCCAATTTGGTCGTTCTATCAAGATTCTACGTAGTGATAATGCTAAAGAATTTTTTACCACTCCCTTTAATCAATTCATGACATCGCGAGGTATGCTTCATCATTCTTCTTGTGTTTATACACCCCAACAAAATGGGGTTGCTGAACGCAAGAATCGACATTTAATTGAAACTGCCCGTACTATGTTGTTACATTCACATTCACCGCCTCAGTATTGGGCAGATGCCGTCCTCACTGCATGTCATCTCATTAACAGAATGCCTTCTTCGGTTCTCGGTAATGCCATTCCCCATTCTATTTTGTTTCCATCTCAGGCACTGTTTCCATTACCACCTCATGTGTTTGGGTGTGTTTGCTTTGTCCATGATACCACACCAAGAATATCCAAAATGTCTGCTAAGTCAATCAAATGTATCTTTCTTGGATACTCCCGTCTTCAAAAGGGGTATCGTTGTTATTCCCCGGTCCTTAGAAAACATTTTGTGTCTGCTGATGTCACTTTCCTTGAGTCCTCATTTTATTACCCATCTCCCCTCCATGATACCCCCTCATGTGTCGACTTTCTCCCATATCTCAGACCCATCTCCACCCCCCTTATCGATGCTCCTATCGACCCATGTCCACCAATAACACGTCCTTTACAAGTGTATCAACGACGCCCTCGCCCTCCACCCAATGAGTCCTCTGAGGTCACGCCTGCTGATTCCCCTACTCTGGATCCCACACCAGCACAAACAACTACCCAAGTGCCAGAGAATAATCATGATGATTTGCCCATCGCCCTCCGCAAAGGTACACGCTCAACTTTGAATCCTCATCCCATTTATAACTTTTTAAGTTATCATCGTCTCTCCACCCCTTACTTTACCTTCACTTCACATTTATCTAATGTCTGTATTCCTAAAACCACACATGAGGCATTATCACACCCAGAGTGGCGTTGAGCTATGTTAGATGAAATGGAGGCCTTACATTCTAGTGGGACTTGGGACTTAGTTCCCCTTCCTATTGGAAAATCAGTTGTTGGGGGCCGCTGGATATACACAGTCAAAGTAGGACCAGATGGAAACATTGATCGTCTTAAAGCACGCCTGGTTGCAAAGGGGTATACACAAATCTATGGATTAGACTACACCGACACATTTTCTCCTGTTGCAAAAATTGCATCTGTTCGTCTGATCTTTTCCATGGCAGCAATGAGCCACTGGCCATTATTTCAATTGGATATCAAAAATGCATTTCTCCATGGTGATTTACATGAGGAGGTTTATATGGAGCAACCACCTGGTTTTGTTGCTCAAGGGGGTCTGGTTTGGTTTGCAGATTACGTCGTTCTTTATATGGCTTGAAACAATCCTCGCGTGCATGGTTTGGGAGATTTAGTGTTGTTGTTCGTGGTTTTGGCATGACTCGTAGTGATGTAGATCATTCCATATTCTATAGACATTCTGCAGGAAATAAATGTATATTTCTTGTTGTATATGTTGATGACATTGTCATTACAGGTAATGATGACCAAGGAATTTCCCAACTCAAGGAATATCTTTTTTGCAAATTTCAAACAAAAGACTTGGGAAAAATAAAGTACTTTCTTGGTATTGAGGTTGCCCAATCAAGAAATGGAATTGTGCTCTCTTAGAGGAAATATGCATTGGATATTCTTGAGGAAGCAGGAATGTTGGATTGTAGGCCAGTGGATACACCAATGGATCCAAACGTCAAACTCGTGTCAGAACAAGGTGACCTCCTGCCCAATAAAGAGAGATATAGAAGGCTTATTGGGAAGTTGAACTATCTTACCATCACAAGACCAGATATTTCATTTGTTGTCAGTGTGCTTAGTCAATTTCTTGATAAGCCATGTGATGGACATTGGGACACAAAGTCACACAACTATCCGAGTCATGAGATACATCAAGAAAACTCCAGGACAAGGATTACTCTTTGAAGATCGAAGGCACCATGACATTGTTGGATATTGTGATGCCGATTGGGCTGGATGTCCAATGGATAGACGTTATACTTCTGGATATTGCATTTTGATTGGTGGAAATTTGATTTCTTGGAAAAGTAAGAAACAGGATGTGGTTGCCAGGTCTAGTGCAGAAGCAGAGTACCGTGCAATGGCCCTTGCTTCATGTGAGATATTATGGTTGAACCATCTCCTCCAAGAATTAAAATACGGAAGCATGAAACC